CCTGCTACCAAAACCTTGCTGTGCAAACCCAGTACATATTCTCTTGTCTCCTGTGTGTCGGCAAGACAAGGACACAAAAGCCTGTGCGGCCGCCTTGCACTAGCGTGGTTGAAAGCTTCCCTAAGCAGCTCTTCCCTTGGTTACTGCTAAATTCCGTGGTTTCTTTCTGTTTGGTGCAGTTTTTAATCTTGTCCACAGGGTCGCCTTTGCAACCATAACACATGGTTAATTGACTTGGGATGAGTAAACATCACCCTTTGTTCATGCCTTAAACCTGTAGTATGTGGTATGCAACTTTTGAAACAAAACTCAAATTATTTGAAATATGTTCTCAAGTTCAAAGGCGTTTTTCTACTTTCTGTATTTCTGCAGTAAGGTCCACATAAATTTAGCTTAATGACTCATCTGAAGACTAATGGTACAACCTAAACCAATCCCGTAAAAATTCTTTACAGGGAAAAAGACATCTATATTGGCTATTTGCCTCTTGCCCATGTTCTGGAGCTGAGTGCTGAACTTGTGTGTCTGTCTCACGGATGCCGCATTGGTTACTCTTCACCTCAGACGTTAGCTGACCAGGTATGTTGTTGATCTAAGCCCTTACGGTAAACAAAAAAAGTATATAATTACATCACGTCTTTGTAATATTTCTTAAAATATTACAAAAAAATCTTCTTTTCTACAATTCATGAAACAGGGTATTGGTGGTTATGACTGGTACTCTGGACTAGTTTTAATTCTTAAAATAGAATTTAAATGAAAATGATTGTTTGAAAGATGTGCTATGTCATTTTGTTTCTCATGTTAAAAATCTTGAATGTGTCTGCTAGTAAACTTGTTCTTTGCTTTAGTCCTCTAAAATAAAGAAAGGAAGCAAAGGCGATGTTACTACACTTAAGCCAACCCTAATGGCAGCTGTCCCGGTAAGTAACTGCAGAATAAATAATTTCAAAAATTATTGTAAAAATATTCATAATTCAAAATTTTAACAACAAAACTAAGGCAATGATCGTTTAAATAAAAAAAAGATAGAACCTTTGATGTTAAGCTTGCTTAAAATAATATTTTTGGTATTTATTGTGTTTGTTGGGGATAAACATTCATATGAGTGTCAACACTTTTCAGCATTTAAATAGCTATGGGGATTAGATTGCCATTTTAATTAGTCATATATTGTTCATCATAGTAGATTAATGGAATAAAGATAGCTGGCAGCAGGCAGCTTCGGGTTAACTAGTGCTCCTGCTGAGATGTTTGCTTTCCTCTTTCTGTGAACATCTTGCAATCTCCTAGCAATGGAAGAGGAAGCCACCTGGGAGCAGGTTGTCATCTGAAGTGTTCTAGAAATTCTAGAACATGTTTCCTTTTTGTTGCCCTGAATTTAGGATTTCTTTTACTTTGAGCTAAAGTTAATCTTTTTATGTAACTAGGAAATTATGGATCGGATCTACAAAAATGTCATGAATAAAGTGAATGAAATGACTAGTTTCCAGCGGAATCTATTTATATTGGCCTACAACTACAAAATGGAACAGATTTCCAAAGGTTACACTACCCCGCTCTGCGATAGGTAATTTTAATTTTATTTTTAATGGCACCAAAAAATGCTTATTGAAGTCTTAACCACATAAGCCGTGTCTGATTTTTTTGGTGCTTTGCTTTGTTTTAATGTTGACGCTTTGAACATGAACGAGTCTGTAATTAAGTGTAAATTGAAACAGCAGATCAGTAGTGTGTGATGGTTTTAAATATTTACTGATATAATTTGAGTGTTATTTAACTTGAAACTGATTGGAGATTTATATACATTGTATTGTTTTCATCAGGACTTTAATAACGGATTTATACAATTCTTGGGTAAGATGGGAAGCCTATTCCTATAGGTGACTGTAGACTTAACATTTTCACAGAAGTGAATCATAGAATATCTCAAGTTGGAGGGAACCCATGAGGATCATCAAGTCCAACTCCCATCTTCAGTGAGACTGAAGGACAATATAATTGCAAAATGTATACAGCTTATTTAAATAATCTTTGAGGAGGAAATCGCTGAACTTTACTGTCTTACTAAATCTATATTCTCAAAACACTTAACCCATCTTCAAATTAGAATGTGGAAACAAGCTTTAAAATCTCTGCCTGTGTTTTTGAAAACTTCAATGCGCTTCTTCAAGTTTTTCCTTGAATGCCATAAAAGTTTATTTGAAGATAGTGGAAACTTTCAGTTCAGACACAAAATTAGGTAATCTCTTCATTTGTTTTTAAGCAACAGATATATACTCTTATCTTTGCATTTTAGCCTTATTTTCCGGAAAGTACGAATGCTGCTAGGTGGAAAAATTCGCATCCTGCTTTGTGGAGGAGCTCCACTCTCTGCAGCAACTCAGCGGTTTATGAACATTTGTTTCTGTTGCCCTGTAGGACAGGGGTATGGACTAACTGAATCGGCCGGAGCTGGAACAATCACAGAAGGTTGGTGTCGGTGCATCCCACTGAGTGCTGTGATCCGTGCTGAGCGCTCCCTGTGTACCATCTTTGACAGTCGATTCCTTTGGTGTACATCACCAAACATAATTGGGGAATCCTGGGAATTACTTGTAATCATAAATGCGTAAAAGAGTAGGAGTACTAATTTTGACACGTAGTGTAAAGCTGGTGACCTACCTACAAAACGAATGTTCTAGATAGAGATAACCTGTAACAGTGATAGAGGAATCTATAATGGTGTGATTGGGATCTTGGCATTACTGCACTTACCGGTCAAACTGAATAAATGATTTCTAATTTTGGTGAGTATATTGAGACGTTAGGAAAATAAAAAATGGTGTGCAAAAGCCTGCACCAGATTTTAATTTCATATAACAGAACTTTGTGGTTTCAGTTGCCTTTTAGTCCTAAAATTTCACTCATATTCAGTGGTGGCAGAAACAGTCAGAGCTGCTATTTTTTGGCAATGGTGTAATCTACCAAGGAATCATATGAGGAGTACCTAAGGTTCATTGCTAGATTATGCTGGATTGTAGAACTTGTATTATGTTCCTTGGTGATCGACAAACTGCTGTGATGTGTTTTTATTCCAAGAGGTCTTTGGTAATGGCTTCTTTGGTAGGTTGGGTGGAAAAACAAATACAAATGATGTACTCTCCAGTGATATTCTTTTGGGAAGGTGCTCGGATGCAGAAGTGTTTGGGATTTGAGACTTCAGGAAAGTGAATCAAAATATAGAATCCCTGAATTGTTGTGAAATATCGCTACTTATTTCAGAGTCCAGCAAACACTATTTAAAGTTATTGTGCCTCTTCTGAAGCATGATCCACATGGACAACTTACTGTCAAAGCTGTGTTGATGTGACTGGAGGTATCTGTAAATAGAGCCATCTATTCTTTTTGCAGGATAAAGATTTTGTCTGCATTACCTTGATAGATCCATTGGTTTTCTTGGAAGTTCTGCTCAATGAATTAAAGTTCAGAAATAAATAGCAGTTAATTTTAACTAAGTGAGATGCATGACAACAAAGATTTTTCTAATCGGTTTTGGAAGATTTTTTTTCTGAAAAATGCTCTTTGTTTATCTTTTAGTTTGGGACTACACTACAGGGAGAGTGGGAGCACCTTTGGTCTGTTGTGAAATCAAGTTAATGAACTGGGAAGAAGGTGAGAGTTTCTGTGTGTGATTAAATTGTAGTGTGTTTGTAAGGACTTTATATAGCTACGTTTCTATTGGGCTTTACTCAGTGGTAGTAATTAGAAGGCTATTTCCTGGTGTTTTAAATTTCAAATGCTACTTATTTTTAAATGCTACCAGGTTCGATCTTGGGGGAGAAAAAAGGTAAAATAAATTCCTCAGTGGTTTTTCAACTTACAAATATCTAGACAGAAGCTATCAATGCAAGTGGCATTTGGCTAGGTTGTATTATGACTCTTTGACTATGCTATTTCTTTTATCCCAGTCATTATAATTGTGTATGCATATTGTGTAAATGTATAGAGCATCGTACCTAAATCAGAGCATTTCTGATTTAGAGAAGTATTCTTGTAGGACAGGGTGCAGGTCCCGTATGTTGTGTCTCAGAGGTGCTGGATTCAGGAGACTTCAGCTGAAGCGCATGTGTGATACTTTCTTTTGCCATTAAGAAATAATTTTAAAATAGTCTTCATAATATTATTATTCGTAAAATAATTTTAAAAAATTGGCATATGGAATGGAAGCTTAATGGATGCTATGTAAAATATATTCAATGAAGTTTGAAAAGTATTTAGGTAGGCTTTTATGTCTTGTAGAGTAGAAATATGTAATACTCAAGGGTGTTTTGGGCTGATGGGAAACCTTACAGTTTTTTCTTTCCTAAAATGAGGCAAAATTTTATCTTTTTTTCTTGATCCGACCCTGTATGAAACTGATTGATAGAGCATGTTAGTGGTGGCAGAAAGATTGCATAGAGGTGGCATTTACCCTCTGCATGTGTGTGAATTTCAGTGTTTGTAAACACAGATGTTAAATAGCTGTTTGTATGCTGAAAAGAACTGGAACCACCTCTTCTCTTACTGAACTATTTAGGCAAGTGGTAACTTTGGCTAAGGGCTTACTGAAGTGTTTACTTCTGTATTTAAATAATGTAAAAAAAAAAAATAGGAATTCTTTCTTTGGAATCTATTTTAATTCTTGTTAACTTAATAAACCCCATACTTCTAGGTGGATATTACAACACTGATAAACCATATCCTAGAGGTGAGATTCTTATTGGAGGGCAAAATGTGACTGTGGGCTACTACAAAAATGAAGTACGAACCAAAAAAGATTTCACTGTTGATGAGAATGGGCAGAGGTGGCTCCATACTGGAGACATTGGAGAGTTTCATCAAGATGGATGTCTAAAAATTATTGGTGAGTTAATAAATTCAGGTGAACATATAGGTACATTTTTGCAGGGCTGTTAAATACTGTAAGAAACAAAAAAAAACCACTCTGCATTTTGGCATGCAGTCTGAAGCTCTAGTGTGTATCTCAGGGCAATTCTGATATGTTAACATAAACTTGATTGTGAGTTTTAAACGCTGATCTTTAAAACAATTGCTTTTTTCTAAAACAGTCTTAGCACTGACTCCACTCTGTTAGTGAGACTGGGTAGTAATTAGAGTTAAGTGTAGGCTGATTGAGCTAGATAAGCTGCTTTAGATTTTATAATTTTCTAAATGTGGAATTTGATTCATTGAAAGGGCTCTTTGGTAATATGTGCTCAGGAATTAGATAAGCCTTTTTTTTAATCTTGCTGTTCTTTATAATAAGAATATTCCTTTATCATAGAGGAACTAGGGGAAAAATATACTAAGGAAAAGGTGGTATACATAAGCCCGTGATAGGCTTATAATTCTTGACACCTATAGGTGCAAAAATAGGTGCCATATAAACTACCAGGTGTCTCTCTTGAAGTCAGTGAGTGATTCAGGGTACTCTTTAATCCTGAAAAGTAAGCTTATTTGGTTTATTATATGAGAAAGATCTTGGGTCCCATTGCAGCTGCCTTGCACTGGTCAAACGAGTCAGATGGCTACAAAACTACCTTGCCTGGTTGCATGAAGCAGCATGAAGGCATATAGCAAAGGAGGTACTCCTGGCTGCCATCACAGCTGGGTGGGTAAGGCCCTGTAGTCACCTTTGCCTTCTTTGGGCTACATACAATAAACTCAAGTAATTTGGGCTTAATTTTCAATTCCTATTGTTGTGTTTCAAATAACAGATAGACAGTTGCTCTTTAAATGTGGATTTAGCCTGGGAAAAATAACAAAATGTTCAGCAAAGGCTGTATTTCCTGCCATAAGCGTCTGGACTAGACAGCATGAAAGGTGTGCTTCTAGCCGAACACTGGCTTTTGCATAATCCCAGTTGTCTTCCATTCGCATGCCAGTGCAGTCATAGAGGAGATGCTGTTCTAAAGGCAGAAAATGTATGGGATTGAAATGGCTCTCGTGTCTGAGTGTGGGGCAGGTTGATAAAACGCCAAGTTTGGAAACCTGTTATTAAATGTTCCTGGTACATTCACCAAACATGACTCCGCATACCTTTTGGCACTAATACATTTCCAAAAAGTATACAATCAATGTCTAAAGTTTTGTGTTCTGTAATTAATGTTTAATTTCTTTTTTCCTCAATAGATCGTAAAAAAGATCTTGTAAAACTCCAGGCAGGAGAATACGTTTCTCTTGGCAAAGTAGAAGCAGCTCTAAAGAATCTTCCACTGGTAGATAATATTTGTGTGTATGCAAGCAGGTAAGAGACAGCTGATATTTTGTTATTGCTGTATTCTTTGTCTGTCCTGCTAAAGCCATAAGCAAATTTTTTTGCCACTTAATGTGCGGAATTTTTTTAAACCTGTTAAAAAAGGATTTTGCTTATAATACAATGGAGTAACTTTATCAAAACTAAAACATCTGAAATGTATGCTTTTATTTTTCCTTTCACATTTTTTTCATAATTTGTTGGAAAATGCCAAGAATGAGTCTTTCATTCCCTTTTCCCCCAATCTGAAAAGCAGCTAAGCTCTGACTGCATTCATAACAGACATCATTCAAGCACGTTAGAGATTATTACCTATAAAGCCGTAGGACACCTTGTTCCTTGCTGTATTTAGCTGTGATCTGTTCTTCAGAGGACGTACTGTTGTACTTCAGAGGAAGCGGGGGAGAAACCACCAACAGCTCAGAAGCTGGTTTGTGCATTAAAAATACTTTAACCCCTGCAATACACCAGCAGATGCCTTTAAAGCTTGAGAGAAAACACTCTGTAAATACTATCCAAACACACAATTAATAGAAAGGACACGATCATTGTTTATTTGCTTTCTACATGTACTACTGAAATAGGCATATAAGGGCTCAAACATGTCTTAAGTTTCTATTTCTAGAATTTCCTAACTGTGCATCATATAGACTTGCATGTATAGATAAACTTCAGGTGGTCTTTGCTTCCTGTTGTCATTTTGACATTTGGAAAGTCATTTTGGAGCTTCTGAATGACCAGAAATATTCTGATTTCCAGTATGGCCAAAAAAAGCCCCACTTGATAACTTTGAAGGAAGCCAGGACAAGCATACCAGAGAATTGCTCAGTGGTAATAAATAGAAAATTAACTTTGGGTTTGTTCACCTGGTTCTCTGTGGTATTTTTTTGTGTTAACTAATGGTAGTCATCCTGTAACTTCAGTTTTGACAGTTTTGGATCAATAGGCTAACGTGCATTGGGCATTGGCCACTGCTGAGACAACTTCCATTATATTAGGCCTTATCTGTGGTTTTGACCTGTTGGGCGAGTCTCATGTTTGCCTTGACTGCCTGAGGTTGTGTGCCTGTTCTGAGCATCCTCCGTAGTCTCTGGAGGAAGAGACTCCTACAGGTGATGATTTCTGCTGTTTTAGGATTGAAGTTCAGTACTGGCATTGTACTATCAAATTTGTGTTAATTTTGCCAGGTCAACATAATGTTTGAGACTAAAATATGCTTGTTAGGCAAGTACTTGGCTCTGATAGTTCATATCTTGCCTAGTCCTTAAAAATAGGAAAACCTATGAGCAATTTTTAAAGGTAATTTACAAACAGAGTCCAAGTACATTCCAGATTGTTTTTCTGCTGCTGCTGTATTTCTTCTTAATACTTTCATGTGTGTAACTTGGCATCAGTAGCCATGTAATACAGATTCTCTGAATGATTGTCCATATGCACATTTCATTGTGGGTATATAGGCACCTCTACAGTGTGAGCTCAGGGACTTTTTGGTAGCAGTGCCTATGACTTCTCTTGTGTCCTGTCTCTCCTTATACTTTGCTTGGGTGATCTCATATGCAGGAGTCGTCCTTCATTTGTAGATGTTTTATCTCCCACATGCAAAAGGACAAGGAGGGCAGACTTCTACAAGTGGGTTAAATCTGTGATTTGACCTTAGATCTTGGAGTGCAAAGCTCCTCTGAACATGGTAGCAGAGAATCAAAAGTGTTTGCATGGTATCACTGCTTCAAAAGCTATATTCATTGACCACTTCAGACAAAATACTCAGTGTGATAAGGAATAAAATGTTTGCTGAAAGGAATCATGATTAGTGCTCCTTCAGAGGAGACTCCTACTGCTTTATCAGCACTTCACTCGTCCAAGATGCGTTCAGTAGATCTCAAGCATCACATCAGGAAAATGAATAGTTTAGTTACCTAAGGAATGAGCAAACATGGCAAAAAACCCAGGGGAGTTCTCATCAGAAAGGTAAAGGAGAGCTGATAAGGACCAGACTTAACAGAATAGAAATGGTGATTTTGACATGTAGTGCCACTGTAGATGTCTCATCATAGGTCTGAGGGCTGTAGTCGGGTAGGATCTCAAGCACAGCAAGGCAATGAGGATGCCTAGTATAGGAGAAACATTGTGGCAAAATCTCTTGGCAAAAATCTCTTAGCCTGGAGGAGATGATTAAGGAGCTCCTGAGGACGAAATTCTAAAAATTTCTTCACTCCTGCTGTCGTTATGACCTCCAAGACTGAAGAAACTAGCAAATTCAAAAGATCTGCAGAAGAAACAGTAGTGGAGGGGGAAGTAGCTGCTCCAGTGAGAAGATGTAGTTTTTTAGGATACATCTGAAGACAAACTCCTTTAGCATTTGAACTGCAATAAGTGAAGATTTAACTAGTGGTACAGAATGCAAAGCTGTATGTTGTGGAGCTGTGAGCTCCAAGGTGCTCTTTCCAGGAAAAAGCATAGTTGGATGATCCTATTTGTCCAGAGGAAGTGTGCTGCCACTCAAGAGGCTGAACTTTAGATGAACTGAAAGCTTGAGGCTTACCCAGCCAACTGATTACCTCTATATGCTGTTTATCCGTGGAGACACTGGTGATGATGCTGGATATGACGATAAGCCTGTCAAAAGACTACAGGAACCAGGGATGAAAGTGCCAGAGTCCTTTGGTTCTCTGGTTCCAAGTTGTTCCAAGTTACGTTCCAACTTCGTTCCAAGTTACAAAGTTCTGGGTGCCTTCATACATAATACATACAGACGAAGTTACGAGAGTTGAATACAGAGTATAGCACAACTGGGCGGGGAGGAAGAATCAGAAAGGCAAAGGCAGAAGGTGAGATGCAAGCAGTAAGTGATACTGAGGCTAATCTGAAGTCTTTCTGTAAGTACATTCTTAGTAAGAAAAAAATGAGAACTGTTTTGAGTCGGACAACAGGCAAAGCTTGTCAACAGATGAAGCCTGTGTTTGTAATGGACTTTGCAGACTTCACAACTGCCGTCAGATGCCCATTATAATTCATACCAGGAACAAGGGAGAAAATTGCAATGTACAGTAACCAAAAGGGTATTTAGAGTTAGTATTTTAAAATTTTCTTGGAGACCTTAAAGGATAAGCTGAAGTAATCTCTGTACTGATGTTAAGGTTCCGTAATCTGTCTGGTGAGAGTTAAAAAGATCTAATAAATCTGTAAGTGTCTAAGATGGGACAGGACTGAAGGTACAGTGGAGGACAGGATTCGGCTGTAAGTGTCTAAGATGGGACAGGACTGAAGATACAGTGGAGGACAGGATTAGAATTCATAGCAATCTTGACTAGATGGAGATTTGCTTGAAAACAGCAATCAATTTAAAGGGGAGGAATGTAAATTGTACTTAGACCTAAATAAAACTACAAAAATTCAGGATGAGGAAGCACCGGCTGGTAGTAATTCTGTAGGAGCTGACATGAGTCAACAAGTGCCATGCTGTTAGAAGAAGGTAAATAATATGGCATAACAGATGTGTGGCTTACAAGATGCACGATGATCTTTTTGCTCTACCAAGCATTACAGGGTCGAAGTTCCACATGCAACACTTCAGAAAAGGCGGACCTCTTGAAAAGAGTCCAGGAGAAAAATGGGAACATCTGGGCAGAGATCTGTGATGCATGACTTGGGAGGAAAGGGCATTGCTTAAATTCCTAAAGAAACTTAAGAAAGGAAGGAAGACTAGACAAGTGAGAAGGAAAAAAAAAATAGTAACAGTATGTGAATGAATAAATGGCTTCTGTGGAAAGGAGAGGAACATCTGACTATTGGCTTGCATGAAAATACAACTGATGTAAACTGCAGAGAGGAAGAGTCAAGAATAGCCATCAAGAACAGCTTACCAATGCTAAGAGTAATGAAGCACTGGCATTAGTGTTTGCCTGATGTTTAAGAACAGGTTAGACAAACATCTGTTAGATGTAGCTGACCTTGCTTCAAGGCAAGTGAATGAATTAGATGATCTTGCGAGATCACCTTCAGCTCCCTGATTCTGTGATCTGCTTTGTTAGAATGTGCGGAGTTGCTATGTGAGGTTCTGTTCATGCTTTCCCTAAACTTTACACCATCTGAAAAATCTCAAATACCTGTTTCAGGGCAAATTGTGCTTCAGTGTTTTCCAAAGACTTTGAGATCACAGCTTCCTATGTTCTAGGCCTATCAGGAGCAGACAAAGATTGCCAACAGTAGAGTTGAGTGTATGGACAATCACTTGAAAGAGAAGTCACTTCCCTTACAGAAGCAGGCGTTCTTTGAGATGTGTTGTGCATATGCTCATTCCACAACCTGCTCTCCAACCCCTCTTCACTGCAGTCCTCTACTCCTCTACAGTAACTGGATTCTGCAGTTGAGAGGAAACTGAGGTAGGGAAGCCGCACACCAGTCTTCATACCGGGCTGCAAAACATGAGGAGAGGCAGGGCGCATTGACATCGTATGGGTACTGCTTCCCCAAAGCTTTGAGCATGAGGCACAGTGGAATATGCATATGGACAGCACACCTTGAAGCAATACAGTTGCTGTAAGGTAAGTAGCTTCTCTTGCTACTTATTTTTAAGCAGGCAAAGGTAATTTGTCCACTATTTCAGAAAGATTATCAGGTGAACAAAAGCCAACTGTTACGAGCAATATCTCTGTATGAATTGCAAACTGCTCAACTTGAAATGTTATTTTTGAAGACTTGTTAACTTGACAAAATTCATACTAAAGTACGTTATACTTCTCAGTTTCCATTCTTATGTCATTGGATTTGTTGTGCCAAATCAAAAGGAGCTCACAGAACTAGCTCGAAAGAAAGGATTTAAAGGAGCCTGGGAAGAGATCTGTAACAGTCCTGAGATGGAAAAAGAGGTACTGAAGGTGCTAGCTGAGGCTGCCATGGCAGGTGAGTAGCTGGGTAGAAGATAGTTTTAGCCTTGTGGACAGTAATGTCTGTGAAACAGATGAGTATATGCCCTAAAAATATTTCCTTGTGCATATATATTTCATTATGTATTCATAGAACATATACGAAGTGAAATTTTCATACAAAAAAACCCAACAACAAAACATGAGTTGGATCAGTCCTTTTGGTTTTTGTAGTCTTGTAACTTTTTTTTTTGACCATGGCCAATAATTGAAAGAATATAAGAGTAGGGCAAACTTAGCAAGCTCAATTTAGTTCCAAATACATATATATATGTCTGGTGCTATTTAAGATGTCCTGTAGTATCTTCTTGGCATTCAGCTGCTGGTCCAAAAGAATGCGGGTCGTCTGCAGATCCATGATGCATCTGTGTTGGGCATCATACAGTCTCACGTGCTGTATATCTATGAGTAGGTGATTGAAATAAGCCCGTGGTGGTAGGGGCTCCCCTAGCTTCCAGTGACTCGCATCCGAGGGATTTCCTAAACTGAAAGCGGTGTCTTTGTGGTTAATAATTTTCTTCCATTAACTCATCTAGTTGCGTTTCAAGGTTACGTAAATATTCTGTGTGAGTATCCATACTGTCCTGTGGCGGAGTTGCACAGCTCAGCTATGTCCATGTGAAGAAATGCCTCGTGTGTTTTAACCCTGCCTTCTGCTAGTTCAGTTTGGTTCTGCCGAGCTCTTGCATGGCAAGGGGCAGTGAACAGTCACAATGGCAGTCGTGACTTTTTTTGACTGTCTGTTTTGACTGTCTCTTCCCCCTCAGCTGTATCTTTGTCATGCTAATTGGTCACAGTCTATTTAGCTATTCTGGTACAGAATTAAACAGTGGCACAGTGATACTGTGTTTGTTCTTTCCTAATAAATTCTGCTTTGTTTTTGCTTTTGACCATTGCTAAGCACTGAGCCTTTTTCATAAAGCTATCAGTTATGCCCACAGAAAGTTTCTTAAATGGCCATTGTGGATGTTGAATTTTTCATACGCATTCACTTTTACACTGCTCTGCAATGAAAGATTCCGCTGTCTGTTCTGCGATCGCTCAGTATTGTGATGTCCTTCTGCACCTCTTTGCAGTTTGCCCCCATCTTTTCTACCTTGGATAACTTTATGCTTCCAATAATCTTTCTTTGCCTTGTTAATCTTCATTTCTTCTCCACATTACTTGCAAATATCTTAAACTCTGTGATTAGTGTAATTGCAGACTTCTGTTACAGGAGCATACTCATGTGATGAGTGCAGTTTCAATACTGCAGCAGAATCTTTTGTTTTGTTTTGTTTTCTTCTTTTTCCTTGCCCCCTTGTCTCTTGCCCATTTTTCTTCACTGCATGGAGCATATGGGCAAAGTTGTTCTAAGAAGCTGCTGTGGTGGAGAGCCTGTACAAAGTCCCCTTCCTTTTCTCTTTTGTGCAGCCCTAACTGTTCTGTTGTTAAAATTGATGAAACAGAATAATTTCATTCTGAGGCATTTTTGCACATTTTGGTGTTATTTTATGTTTGTGTTTGTTCTTCCCTTTGGTGGCACAGGCTTTACTTTTAAAGTAATGTTACGAATTTTTAGTGCTAAATTGCAAAAAACCCAACCCAGTGATTTAATGTCAAGGGAAGTAAAACGTGCAGGAAAATCTGAATGTAAAGTTGCGTAGGATAATTACATATTTGTGGATTATTTTTTAATTTAACCTTAAAATAGGTGGTTATTTTTTTAATACTGCCCATCTCTTGATTACTTTTCTGAGTTATTTGGGTTTTTTCCTCTTATGTCTGAAACCATAGCAGAAGCTCTTGGAAATAGTGTTTTGTGCTAAAGGTATAACATGCAGAGCGCTGTTCTGTTTCAGTAAGGGGAACGACTACCATACAAAGTTAACTTTCCTTGAACAATTTAGGACTATCAGGAAAAAACACATTCCTCCTCTTTTTTTCAAGCATAACTAGTATTGATTTTTATTACTTTTATCTCCAGAAGATAAGTATCATGACACTGATATAACAGTGTATATTCTGAGGATGTCATTTCTGAGGCTTTTATGACGTTAGGGAGCAGCACAGATACCTGAAAACCTGGGGTTTATTTCAACATTTCTGTGGGAACTGGAGAATAATTACTGGGGGATCCTGTCACTCTACTTGTGAACACACTGGGGTTTTCACAGCTAACCATGGGGGGGTGAGGAGCTTTTCTTCATTCATGCCATGTGCTTTTCTGTGTAAAAATATGGTTCCCCCTTTTGTGCTTAATTGTAGAAAAATGACTGCATTTACATTTTGTATTAAAAATGTTTATTTTTACAGCTAATCTGGAGAAGTTTGAAATACCCGTTAAAATTCGCTTGAGCCCTGATCCTTGGACCCCTGAGACTGGTCTAGTGACAGATGCATTCAAACTAAAACGCAAAGAGCTTACAGCATACTATCAAACGGACATTGATCGAATGTATGGAAAAAATGTAAAGTAATTCTTTTCCTGCACCACTTTGCTACAATGAGCTTGGATCAAATAGGAAATACTTGAATTGCCTGTCTCGGCACTTGAGATCAACACACAAAACCACCATTCCTCATTTGCAGCTTAAACTGTTACTTCTGATAACATCACCGTGATGACTGGCAAGTTTAGTAAAATGTTACGGCAGCAAACTCGTGTCTGTCTCCTTTTTTCCAGTTTTCTCTGCTACCTTGTCAGTCTGTGGATTTTCCCGAGTCTTTTTGGGAAACCGTGATTCTGAAGCCTCAAGTTTTTAAACATTTATAAATCCTGTATAATGTTTTATTTGTATCTTTAAAATTTGGATGTATATAGAGAGAACTTGGGTATATAAGAAATGGTTATACTGGGGGCCTTTTTTTACCTAATTATTTAAAGATAAGCAGGTATTGATGTTGTGACATTATGTACATTGAAAATGCTTGTAATGAGATCATTGTTGAACAGAGGACCAGGTTATTTGCTGCTGTGCTGTTTTTCTGTGTAAATCTTGAGGGACAAAACGTTTGACATTCCAGCTTGTGTAATACACCTTCAATATGTGCCTAACGGTTACTTTTCTTTTTACCTGAAAATGAAAAGCTGGTCATGGCACAGCTCTGCATAAAGGCAAGTTACTCTTGCAGGTATTAGTTAACGCTTATTTAACACAAAGGACGCTGTTAACAGAGCAGAAGTTAAACCTAAGAATAAGCTCTCGAATACAGAAACTCCTTTTTAAAATAGCTCGTGATGGTTTCATCCAGTTGCGTAGAGCTAATAAGAACTCTCAGCATTAATTTCATGTAACTTTGTAAGTCGGACAGTGCCCTCTTAGCAGAGGGACTGTAACAACTTTTGTCTTTTCTCGTTAGGTTTGGACATCACACTGGCTTTGCTCTTCCATTGTTCGCGAAAGCCTGCCAAGACCCCTGTTCTGCCCTAGCTGCAACCCAAATCTTACTGGGGGGATTTTTAAAGTCATAATGACAGTTATGTTCTCAGCTCACACAGTGCCTAGCTGCCCTTTGTGCCATTAAAAATCTCCCTTTAATTTTGTGTTCTTTTTGTTTAGCGTTTTTTGCTTTAAAAACGGGTGTTTGAAGTATTTGTCAGCCAGAGTTATTTATGTCACTTGGTTTGTAACACCCAGTTCTTCCTTCGGGGAGGAGTCTCAGTTCCTGTTTTACTATGGCTATGTGAATACTGTTTGAAGAATTACGGGGGATCTTTTTGTCTTCAGTGAGAGTGGCTAGATTTTGTTTCAGATGTGAATTTTATTTTCAAAATATTTCTAGACGGAATATTTTAATCGGGGTTACATGACAATGTGAAAAGGCACACATCAGTCAACTTTGTGATGGAGCAAATATTAAAATTGCTTTAATTTGGAGCTCATTCTCTCGTGTATCATTTACTTGTAGTACTAAAAGTCAAGGCCTGGATGCGCACGTAGCACCCTACTGTGGCAAGCAGTCCTGAGCGGCGGCGAAGCTCTGCTTAGAGGAGGGAATGCTTGCTGTTAGCATTTGTGACATGGGAGTTTTGGGAGACGTTTGATACACAAAGTCTCATTTAAAAAATTCTGAAATGTTATTTAACGCTTCCCATTGATTATAGAAAGCAGTTTCATAAGAGTGGAAAGGTATCAAGTAGGTTCCCTGTACTTGAGTTTTGATGAAAGGATGAGAAGGTTTGTGCTGTATTTTATGTTACGTTACCATCTCTCCCACTCTTCGTGGATTTCCCCAGCTGCTGTCTATGAAAAGCTGTTACTGTTTGGTGAATTTTGGTGTAACAAGTCAAACGGAAGCCAAAGCGAGGAAGAGAAATCAGAAGCACATTGGTGAGAGAAATGGCTTCAGATGTCTAGATCACACGTAAAACCTTCTGGCAAATAACTAGAGATAAGGCTAATGTTGGAAAATGGCTGGAGAATCGGAATGTGGAAATTGCCAGGGCTGTAGGGAGTTGTCACACCATATGTTAGATGATGATAATACTTAAATACGTATCTGTGCTCCATCAACACACTCTTAAATAGTTCGCATTCAGCACAGGATGTACATTGTTCACATTTTTGGGGGTAGTTTTTACTGAAAATTAATAAATTGCTATATATAGCAGTTGGTGCATTGTGCGGCAGATTTAAGAAAATAAATCTGCCTTTGATTAATTCAGAAGGAATCTGAATTTAGTATTTTATTCTACTAAGGGTTTAAATCCACTTTTGGATAAATTGCATAAATGAAATTTTTAAAATGGTTTGGAAATAGTAGTTTCAATTTCTCTTCTAATCCAATTGCAAGATTGGGTTGCAGTCTAACTGTACATTTGATTTTACAGCTCAGTTTTTTCTATTTAAAATGGATGTTGGTATATATAGTTCCTCCTTCTTTAGACATCAGATTCACTGTGGACATTTATTTCAGAATGTGAAAATACAGCAGTTTATTAATTTTAGCTTCAGTGTTGTGGATAGAAAGTCTTTTAAAATACTTGTATGGGCTTAAAGTATCTGTGATGAGTCAGGCTTTTGGCTGCCACCGTGTTCGCACCCTGTGCGCTTGCATTGCTGAGCAGAAAGGCAGCTGCAGGGCAGTTTTGTTGAAACCCTGTGTAGATACGCTAACCTGGGGTCTCTCCTGTTTTTTATTTTGTCTTCCCATGCCCTGTGTAACGAGAACAACAAAAGTCCCTGCTGGAATGTGTTGCACTTGCCCCGAAGGCTGCGGACAGCTGTAGAGTAAATCAGGAAAAGTACCTGGTTGGAAGGTGATGGTCTCCTTTACGTGGGGAATTCTGTAGTGCGAAGAGCTGTAACTTTTAAACAGTTTTTTCTGAGTTCAAACTAAGAACAAGGGGTGTAAACCTCACCTGTGGAGCCCCCCAAAGCGGGGGGGGGGGGGTTTCCCCCCAGAGGGGGGGGGGGGGGGGATTTTTAACCAAGCTTTTGTAAATATAAACTTCCCTGGACTCCGAATAATTGAAAATTGTAACTACTTCTTCTGTTGTGAAAATTTACATATTTCATTATTAAAAAAATGACCGACCAACAAATTCCAAGGATGCTGTGAATCTCCTTTAAATTCTTACAGTTACCTAAAAACGTTTCAGGACTTCAGGTCAAATTCAGTCAAGATGTCGTAAGTGTTCTTCGCGGAGAATAGTGTTTCTGGAGTAGGTTAGGAAATGAAAAAAGTACATGTGAGAGAAGATCTTGCAAGTTCACCAATGCTGCTGCAGCTCGCACACAAGCAGGGCCATACCTCAATGGCAAGCTGTAGCTTAGCAGTAAAATATTTTGCTGAAATGAAAGTGAAAAACAACGTGCAACTGAAACTCAAGAACATAAAGCGTACCTACGTCCTACTGCTTTCACAGAGGGGATGCAGAGAAGGGTGTGGAATTGAATCCATACATTAAAAGCGTCCTGTAAAGCTTGTAAGTTTATGCAGAAATTGCTATAGGACATAAGACTCCTTTGCAATAACCTTTATCCTGCTAAAATTCACAGGCTTTTATTCTGTACTAAAACTACATTTAGGCGATGCAATGGTTTTGATTTTTATTACTGGGATGTATTAACTACTTTGGACTCGGCATAAAATTGTGTACGTCTGTTTCTTTACTGGTAAGAGGAACAATCTTCAACTTGCATACACCTTGGACCAGGCTGAAAAGTCAACTGAATGACCAGTTGTATATTGTACTTGGTTATTTAATGTCGGCTCCTTTTCAATGTGATTTTGGTTGTTGCTATGAACTGCCTGAGCATTGTATGTCCGAATTGAGTTATATTGTATGAATTATTTATTTGTAATTGGATACCATGTTTCAAAAATAAAATTAATTTCACAAATCGGGCCCCATATGTCCATTTTTTTTAAGTGGCGTTTCGTTTTGCGCTGAGCCTGGATAACGTACGGTTGTAAATGAGTGAACGTCAATCGCATTAGTCGAGTACGTGGCAATTTAAGAAGGGGGGTGGGTTAGGGCAGCTCAAAACGTTCTGTCACCGGGGAAGCCTGTTGGATGTTGGCACGTCCTTTCGCGTTGCTCGGTGGCTGCGTGCAGAAGGCTCCGTCCCTGCAGCGCTCATGCTTGGTATCGTGGCGGTTTCCTATGCTAACCGCCGTGTGCTTTGCAGGGGGTGAATTTTCCGGTTGTCGCCTTGGCCGTTCGTGCTACACAGACAGGGCCGATGTGTCCTTCTGTACGTTAATGTTGGTAGTGCGTTTCTGTAGCTGGACCGGGTAGTAATCTCCCTTACGTGTGAGGCTTGCGAATTCGGGAGTAGGAATGCTACCCGATACAGTGGGCATCTAGCCAGCTCCTGTCTTCTGAAACTTGTCATTTCAAGTCTTGTCAAATATTCAAAATAAACGTGACGATTTCAAGATGAATGCAGCAACACTAGTTACCATGTTAGCCTGGTTTTCCACTACCGGAAGCCACCATTCGGCATCTCAGCCTACCGGGTGCCTCCTTTTCTTCTTTGTTTGGGGTCTTTATCTACAAGTTCCCCAGATGCCTGGGGTTGTGGTGCTGGTACCTGTCAGGCCTTCCCTGCTGCGTAGCTGATCTTTATTTTTATCCCTTTATCAGCCATGAGAAGGCTCTAGCTTCTTCCTGATTTTGTTATATTCAAAGTAGCTGTTTGTTTTCTTTCCTTCAAGAATAGTGGGGTTTTTAAGACTGAAAACTTTTTTATTTCAAATTAATTTAGCATGATATGACACACTTTAATTGATCCTTTTGTTGGGTGGTGGTGGGTTCTTCCCCCCCCCCCATAGGTATCCACAGCTGCTAAAATGCCTTTAGGGGGCTCTTTATTAAAGAGAAGTAAACAAGTTCTGAACTATTATAGTAAGTAATTCATTATAGCAGCTAATTTCAGAAAGGGTAAACATGTAACCGTTTCAGGAGCCTTAGTTTCCAGAAAATATTTTCAGGAAACCATTAGAGAGGCAGAGGATCCAAAATATTGGATACAATAAAATTATGAATTAAAAAAAATAAATAAAATTGGAAGTCCTGAGTTGCTATTGTTGTCTACACCAGAAGACCCTAGGGGAGACAGCAGGGAAAGGGAGCACCCAAATAGTGGAAAGACCTGTTAAAAAAAAAAAAAAAAATTAGTACTCGGGGATCATAGTTTTGAAAACCTTTTCGTATTTCTCGGTATATACAATTTCTCTGGCAGTAGAACTTAAGCCAAGAACAATGCCTGTGCCACGCTTGCACCGCTGTCCCCGTTCTTGCGCGCGTCGCATCGTCGCAGTTTAGACGCGGCCTCGCTCTTCACCGAGCGGGGGCTGCAGCCGGGC